TCTGCCTCTCTGCCTACTTGTGATCTCTGTCTGTCAAATAAATAATTAAAAAAAAAAGTGGTGTGGGGAAAGACAGAATCACTTTTTATTTTTTATTTCTTTTTTTAACAGAGGATGGGTGAGGGCAGGGCTCTCGAGCAGGGACCTGAATGAGGTGAGGGAGCAAGGGTTCCAGGCAGAGGGGTTAGTAAGTGAAAAGGCCCTGAGACAGGAGTAGGAGATGAGATTAGAAAGGGGCCGGATAGTATAGACTCTATACCACAGGGCTGCATAGGCTTTTGACTTGAATTCTGAGAACGACAGGAAGCCACGGCAACACTCACACTGTAATTTCTTCCTAACCTTGTTTGGGTCATGAACTTCTTTGGCAGTACGGTGAGGTCTGTGGAATGCTTCGTAGAATGATTTCAAATGCACAAAATAGAATCCAGGGGATGTCAGAAAAACCAATTATATGGAAATATAGAGACTAAAGTCCCCTATGAGGGACCCACCTGCACAGATTATATTTTGAAAGGATTCCTCGGACTGCTGTAGGGAGAATGGATGGCGGGGACCAAGTCTGGAAGCACCAACACCAGTGGGCTTGGACCCAAGCTGTTTCTACTTATCCTATGGGGCAGTGGTCTCTAAAGTAGGGTGTACAACACAGTCTTTTTGAGTGTAGGAAAAAAATATATAAACCTTCTAATTGTATTAATTTACTCTCATTCCTCTTAATTTCTGTATTGAAAGCGTATTTTATAATATACTAACATATTAGGACATCAGTACATTTATACAATTCATGAATAAATCTTTTTATATTGGAGGTGCATATTCAAAGGTATTTGTGTGCATTTTGGCCAATCAAATTTGATGATCGTGATGTAGAGAGAGTTACTCTGGAAGAAACTAAAAAAAAATGCCATTCTGGTTTAGCCCACATTCCATTTCAGAGGCCATTCTGTGGGAGAGCATGAATTCTTGCCATGATTCAACCTTGCTAAATGTCAAGTCCTGTTTCTCAAGCATCCTTAGCTCTCCTTAAGAACCCTCGGATGGCTATAAATGTATTTACACCTGATTAGACCTACTATCACCTCTGAGGGACACACGTCTCCTGGGGTTAATTTCCAAATAGCAAAAGTAGATTTTGATATTCCCCTTGCAATTCAGGGGGTTTCTGACAGGGTCTCCCTTTCTGGCCCCCTGAAGTATGCAGGCACTAGCATGCCCCCTCATCCATCCGGTTTGTGCTGTGCCCGCCTTCATCTGCACATGCCTTCCAGACTTGAGTCCTAATGTTTTAAGCCTCTATCCCATCTGCCTGTCTCCTACAGACCTCTCCTAAACATTTCTGATCATTATTGAGTTGCCATAAGCTGAAAGGCAGGCATTATCCCAGGTGCCATACAGTACAGCATTGGGCAAGGGTAAGCCATTTTCTGTTTTCTACCCAGTTATAGTTCCTGGAGTAGAGCAAGGAGAGAAGGAGGGTGAAAGAGAGGGCAGAATGAAGGAAATAAGCTGATTTTGCATGAAGTTTGCTCCAGTTGCAACTGACTGCCCTTTTCTCTTTTTCCTCCCTCCTTGCTTTCTTCCTCCTTCCCTCCCTCCCTCTGTTCCCTTTCTCTTCCCTTCTTCCTTTCTTTTAGAAAGGAGGCCATTCTTCTATAAAGAGAGAAACCCAAGCTCTTTATGACATACACAGAAATCTTTAGGTAGGCTGTTCAGATGAAAACTAATACAATGTGGATATAGGTGGTTCTGCCCCCAACATCAAGCAGTGGGTGCTGGTGTCTAGGGAGGCGTGATCGTGGCCATGCAAACTACTGCCAGAGGATTTTCACTGCTGCCTTTCAAGTAGACACTGGTTTACAGAAGCAGATATGGAACCTGGAAATGAGGCCAACCTAACCCCACCATTTCTGAGCCCTAAATACGAAGTCTTCGTCCCAGTTCTTTCTATATATTTTCTTGCTCCTCTGATTTCTGCACTCTGCCTGCATCAGGTACTGCTCCTTCATTTGGTCAAGTTCTTTCCTGGTTATTTTAAGTTCATATTAGTGAGTTTTTGCAGAAATGGCAATTTATAGGTAACTGAATCAGACACTGGAAAAGAGCTTGATGAAGCACCATAATATATCTTGGTAAACTATCAGGACACAAAGGAGCTTCTTCTGCTAGCAGGAAACAATGTTAGGTGATACAACTCAAAGCCAAGTCAAACTATCTGTAGTCTCTGTCTATATGCTGGCAAAAGGGATACTGAAATAGCCACGGGATAGGTAATTGGTTTATTCCATAATTGAGTCCACATTATTTTCTTGGAAGTAAATAAATCCTTAATATTAATTGTCAAAACAAAACAAAACAAAACTATTTTTTAAAAAATTCACCAAGGGGAAAACCAGTTTGAAATAACAATTTTTCAAAAACACCTGAAGACATCCTCTTGAACCTCCATTTTCTCTTCGTCCTTCCTCTGTCCTTCAGAATGTGGTTGCCTATGATGGACGGATTAGTTCGATTGTGGGATTGATTCTGGGGACTAGATGTCTCTGCTTGTTGCTGTAGAATGTCATGGGTTTTCCAGATGTCTTGTTGCATTTGAGTTGTGTTGGGTCCCTCAGGTTCCAGGAACCTCCAGTGTTACTTGCCTTTGAAAACCTCAGGGGGATGGGAGGTATTGTGAATTTCTAAAGTGCCTCATTCTCCTTTTTTGTTTGTTTGTTTGTGCGTGCCAGATTTCCTTGAAGTAATGGAGCCTGGTGGGCAATCAATCACTTTAAGTAAATGTTGCCAACATGCCTCTCAGGGAGGGCACACCTCTCTCCAACGGGGGTCTCTTCTTCCCCTCAGCATCCCGTTCCTTCAGAGTAGATTGAAAGAGCACTGGATTTTTCTGGCACATTCTCCATCAGTATACTGAGAAAATACTTAAAACTTAAGAACACTGTTTTTTTTTTAGGTTGCCCTGAGTGATTCCAGACTCAGCTGTCTGGAGCCTGAGCTCCAGAAGTTTTGGGGGACAACCTTTAGACAGCTTCTGAGAATACAGGTGTATGTGGGAAGAAGAGAACTTGAAATTAATAGAATATTTACCTTGTGTCTGGCTCAGGATATGTGTCCTCTACATAACAACATATTTAAACCTCATAGCAAACATGAGAAGCTCAGCCCCATTTAACAGAGAAGGACACTGAGGCATATTTTGTAATGAACTCTTAATGAATTCCGATCCCAGGTGTGTTAACTCCAAAGTTGATTGGACAACCCCCCTTCTGCTACTTCTCTTCAGCAGGCGTAATTTTCTAAAATTTTGGCTTTAAGGATCCAGAAGGTGAACTTTTAACACTGCTCAGTGATTCTTTTTTTTTTTTTTTTCCTGGTTTCCAAAACTGAATGGGTTTCCTCCTGTGCTTCTAGCCCTCCTTCATGTCCCCTTGGTTCCTTTTAAAAGAAATACCTGTATTTCTCATTCCTCTTCTCTACGGGCCTTATAGAGCAGTGGCTCACTAGGGCTTCGAGTTAATGAAATAAAATTTTCAATCATGTTTGGTTCAATTCTAGGTGATACAAATAAAGAATTGTGAGCACTTTGTAGTCAGGTTTAAAGGGAAGGAAAAAGGTGGAAAGAAGAAAGTGGGTCAAGTATAGTACCTGTGCAGTGTCTCCTTAAGCCCTGCCTCATGAAGGTCTGGCTATTAAAAATAGAGCAATAATGGGGCAGCCGTAGCACTGCTTGGGCACCAGTGTGCCCTGAAATTTGGGGTTTGGCAATTTATAGCATTTACCAGGGATGTGAATCTTAAGGGAGCCGGCCAGCGTTCTGATTGATATGTAATACCTGTGGATATTAAGTTATGCTCTCTGAACACTTTGAGTTATGTACTGGTATTATCTCTAGAAGAACAGAGACACAGACATGTTTGTTAACTTGCCCGGGGTTAGACAGTTAGGGGCAGCACGGAAAAGCTGGGCCCCAGACAGTGGTCTTCAGAGCTCACGACCACTGTGCTAACCTGCCTTTCAGTTACGAAGGCTCAGTAACTCTCAAGATCTCGTGGGGGTTTTTAGGATTCTTTTTCTTCTTAATCAGAACCAGCCCACCATACAGTTGGAATGGTAAATATTTGCCATGTTTGGTGACAGACGTTGATGGGTCAAAGGAAAAGGTCTAAGGAAAAATCGTGTACTTTCTCTCACATACCCGTCCATCTGTATTTACTGTGCAAAAAGGTCACTTGAGCATAAGAGCTCGAATTTCGTACTTACAAGCAGCTTCACTGTGGCTAAAACCTTGCTTTACAAGTTGGCTTTAAAAATATTTTGTAATCCTCTCTCTCTCTCTCTCTCTCTAATATGACTGGTCTGTAGCTGTTACGTTATGGGCTTCTTAAATAGGACTTTGTGACTGCTTTTTACATAAAGGCCAGGAATCTCAGGTGATTTTTGTTTTACTCTTGAGTCATAGCCCTCTCTCCAGACTGTCCATCCACTCACATTTACTGGAAGAACAGTGGTTCTGGGAGACCTGAGCTGTCAGCATCCTGGCTCCAGTCTGTGGTAGGAGGGGGAAGGCTAAAAAGGCCGAAATGGTAAATTACTGTAGGTTCTGGGGAAAAATAGAATTAGAAGCATTTGTGGTTCCGATGAAAATAGCACATTTCCTTTCTGCTTGGACAGTGGGGGGTCAAAGTGCTCCAGGGAATAGAAAATAAATAAAAATTGATCCCTCACCCGTTGAAGGAAACGCTCCGACTCTGGGAACCGAAGTGACAGCTCCAGGTTAGAGGATCCTGTGAAACCACTTCTGAAGGTTAAAACAACAGCAGTTGCAGCAACAACAAAATACCAGGAGCCTAAAGTGTGACCGGCTATACTGGGAAATGTAGTCTTTCAAGAATGATTTATACAGCCCCTTTCCAAGACGATGGCTAGGTGGCAGAACCGGATCAGGCGTGGGGCCCTTTTGTTCCCTTGGTTGATCATGGTCCTTCTGTCTCTTCTGGCAGGTGAGAAGCCTTATAAGTGCTCCTGGGAAGGGTGTGAATGGCGTTTTGCACGAAGTGATGAGCTCACGAGGCACTACAGGAAACACACAGGTGCAAAGCCCTTTAAATGCAACCACTGCGACAGGTAAAGAAACACAGAAGCTGCTTGGGATGGGGAGGGGAGAAGGTGAGGTGGGCTGGGGTGGGGAGGTGGGCTGTGTGTGTGCTCCTGGGGTTGTCCCAAGCCTCTGCCTCAGACACTCCGGCCCACGCCTGCCTTTTAGTTCTCCAGAGAAAACCCATGAGGTAAGGGTGCCTTCTTGTGTATAATCCAGAGATGATATGAATTCTTGGTTCAGGCACACAAGTATTTACTGAATTGGGTCAGGAATCGTGTGAGCCACTCAGTGGCAATGAGATGCAGTTCTGCCCTTGAGGAGATGATGTGACAGATGATTTTACTATAATATGAAATGTAATAGGACAGAGAATGGTCACCTGTAGCTGTTTCTTCTGATCTTTTTATTAACATCAATACCCTGTTTCCTGATTCTTAATAACGTGAAAGAGTAGAAAGCCTGCTTAACAGAAAGAAGGTTACTCATAAGGCTTTCCTCCAGAGTGTTATTAGAAATGAATTTACTGGAGAGGGTCCCCATTCTTCGGGGGCCTGAATCATTCTTTTTCCTTTGAAAGTAAGTACAAAGGTCTAAAAGATGGCCAGCCTTTGAGAACTTATCCTATAATTCGATTTCCAACCTTCAGCATTTGATAGTGGAAGAAAGAGCACGTAGCAACAGATACTACACAAGTAATAGTATCTGACAGCCCTGGCATTATCAACCAATAAACCCCAAGATGGAGACTCTGCAGGCTAAGGTGAAGGCAGGATTAGGTTTAGACATAATCAAATAATGGGCTTGCATCTGAGCATGTTATCCTTCTAATCCTATTTCTGTGTTTAAAAGGAAGCTTAAGAAAATTAACCATCTTTTTAATGCAATACTAAAGGTCTCAGTTATGATGAGAAAAATGCTTCTAATACGATAAAAGCCCTGAAAGCCTCAGGGTTCCCCAGCTTGCAGGATGGCAGCAGGGGTGTGCAGGATGTCCATAGAGGCCTGGCTCTCCGTGGGAGGAAATGGGATCGCTTTCCCATCCTGCCTCCCAGTCCCTGCGCCAGCCCCTCCCTGCACTAGGCCTTCCTCTGTCCTGGGGGGGGCTGGGTGTGTGTGTGTGTGTGTGTGTGTGTGTGTGTGTGTGTGTGTGTGTGTTTGGAGAGCAGAGCAATAGTGGCCAAATCTCATGGGTGGCCAGTTGGCTTGGTGCTCCTTTAAGATGCTTATGAAGGAGCATTCATGTTTTTCCTCCTTTTTTCCCTGCTTCCTGAAGAGGCTATTTTCCTCTTATCTTCATTCTTTAAGAACTAAATAAAGCCCCCACGCCTCCTGGAGTCCAGAGATAACCTCCCGCCCCAGAGCTGAGGAAGTCCACTAGGAAGCTATTGTCTCTCATTCCCTTGGAGCTCTCTGCTCCCCAAGATCACAACCTCGGGGTTTTTTTTTTGTTTTTTTTTTTTTTAATTTCTATCCCATTACCTGCAAGGCCCTCTGAATTGATGTGAATCAGTGGCTGTTTTGCTTCAGGATTATATTTGGGTAATATTTCTCCTTATTTGACATCTTTCCTCGGTTGCCACCTCAAGTTCATTTCTCTTTAGCCCCAGCCACTAATAAAGAAGCTGAATAGAGGGTGACTCTTTGCCCACAGTTCTTTGAGGAAGAGCATTATATTGACCGGGATGAAGATGAATCCCCTGTGAGTTGGCTAAGTATGGCGGTAGTAGGCATACACAAAAGTCGCCCATCTCTGAAGGGTGATAAGGCTATTATGTGGAGAGTGTGTGTTATGAACTACATTCATCCTTAGAAATGGACAAAGAATTCTTATTGGGAAATTGCCAGAGTTCGTCTTCCTCTCTGCAGATCAACTGACTTATTGAGGAGTTTACAACTGTCCAGCAGTGGATGTACTAGGATTAAATCTGACCATTTGTATGATTTGTATGGAGACCTATTTCAAGCCAACTGGGTATTTCAGGGAAGGAGGTGTCAGAGATGGTAATTTGGTTAGCCTTTTGCTTTATTTTTCTTCACCAAATTCTATAGTTCCCAGAGCTAGAAATTTGTTGAGCAGATGGTACAAATTCTATGATGTGGTATTTGGGGGAGATTGTGATTTGGGGGGGGATGTGGATCAAAGTCCTGTGGGCTTTGGGCCAAGAGTAAGTACATTTTCAACACTCAGAAAAAGGGGTTGGATCTTCATTAGTGTCTCACGACCAGCAGCACCTTACGTTTCAACTGCAGTGACTGTGCTAAGAATAGAGCAGGTCCGTGAGGTGGCGTGGGGAATTGGAGTGGTCCCAAAGCAGATGAAAGGAAATCCTGGCATGACTGGGAGCTGGCATTCCTTAGAGGACTTTTACCTTCAGAAAAGAGGGCATCTGTAGCCCTTAGCAGGACTCTAAATCCTGTAGGTGATACAGTGTGTATAAGCCCAAGAAACCTCCCTCTTCTTATAATTTGAGAAATCAGGCCACTCTAGAGGCTAAGCTGGGAGTGGGACTTACTATCTTTAAAGCATGTACCAAGTCTAATTTATACTTTTATTTTGCGTATGGTGTAGACTGAAAAAGAAAATAAAAGAGTTTTTCTTTGTTTGTTTGCTTTACTTATATTTTAAATTACTAGATGCCACAAAAATGTCTGTATCTCTGGCTTTGTCTGGAAAAATCAGAAGATCTGGTTAATATTGGGCTTACATTCCCATGTAGCCATAATTTTCTGAAGCTAAATAGTATTCACTCTCCCTTTGTGATGGCCATGTGATCAGTAATTTTTCACTGTTCCCACCACTCCCTGTGGTCTCCCCAATATGAAGCCAGACCATCCATTGCATGTATCATCACGCTTGCCCAGTTGTGTCCTCTTACAGAAGAGGAATATTTCTTCATGTCTGAATGTATGTGCTATGGTGAGTGCTGTGAAGTGTAAACCTGGCAGTTCACAGACCTGTACCTCTGGGGCTAATAATATATTATATGTTAATTTAAAAAATAAATAAAAAGGAAAAAAAAAGATAGACTCTGATAGTCCTTGACCCACTGTACTCATTTACTTTGTGGCCCGGCCTCTGAACACATTGGGTTTTGTGATCTCTTGCTTCAGGTTTGGGTTGGGGGAGAAAACAGTGAGACTCTGCCACTTCCTCGCCAGCAGACTGTACCATATAGCCCAGGGTCTGACCAGCTGCTGGAAGGATGAGGCTTGTTTCCCAGCCCATACAGCATGGGGTTGTTGGTGGTGGTCCACAGAGCTTCTACTGGTGGTGATACACGGGCAATTGTTCTGCCAACTCAGGGAGACTGCTTATCAGGGTAGTACCTGCAAGATCTTGGGCTGTTAAGAGGACACATTTTGATCTTTGAGTCAACCCACTTATAGGTGGTGACAAACCAACCTATATCTAGCCCCTCTGGTGCCCTGGAGGGTTGCTGTTGGCTTAATGCCCACATGACTTAACTGTGCCTTTTTCAGAAGTCAAGGGAAATGACAATAGTGGTTTGCCTAGTTCTCTGTAATGAACAAATTTCAATCATTAAGGACCTTCTTATTTAAGGTCATCTGACTACTACTACATAGTCATAAATACTCCCTGGGGGTGTATTACCCTTAGAATTATTTGATTCCACATTTCTAGATGTGAGTTTATCTATTACCTTTACTATTCCTATGTGGAGCTCAGTACGTGTAAATTAATAAGTATAAATTAATCTTGACTAAGTATCTTGCTGGTATATTGAATTTGAATAAAACCCCCATGGTGAGGGACCTAGTCAAAATTCTAAGCACCACGTAGGTATGAGAATTTGAAGAAATAACAATGCTGGTTCAATTGAGGAGGAGTGCGATTAGATTTCATACCATGTTAAATACTTGTTGTTGTTGTTTTTAACTTTTCTTTTTCCCTGCAAGATCTCAAAGCATAAATGTAGATGCTTGTACGTATATTGCTAGAATCCCAGCACATGGTGGACAGTTGGGAAAGGCAGAATAGAAGTCTTGAATGCATAGATCACTGAAAGGTGTCTGCAAATGAAATTCTGTATCAAGAATGCTATTTCCCTTAGGTTTCCAGGACATAGAAAGGAAAGGAAAGAGGTTTGGACCCCAGGCCAAGGCCTGTCTTTCCCCACTACCATCTGCAATCCCTCTCTTCCTCCCTCAGACAAGCAGGATTCCTGGTGCCTGCTTTGTTGCTTTCTCACAGGTGCTCACAGCTCAGGCCCAACCAGACTGACTTCTGGATTCATTTTCTAGTTGCTGCCATTAAAAATCACCACAAATTTAGTATCATTTTTATTTAACTTTACAAATGATTTATCTTATAGGTACCTTCTTATAGGTAACCTAGAGGTTAGAAGGTCACTCTGGACTACAGTTAAGGTATTGACAGGGATGTGTTCTTTTTTCTAGAAGCTCTAGGGAAAACCCATTTCCTCATCTTTTCCAGCTTCCGGAGGTAGCCCATATCTCTTGCCTGCTCACCCCATCCCTCCATCATCCAAGCTGTTGAGTCCTCCCATGCTGCTCTCTGTGTTCTCTTTGAATTCCCTCTTCCGTTTTTAAAGATATTCTAAATGACATTGACCCAACCCAGATAATCAAGAATAATCTCCTGATTAGCAAATTAATTTCATCCACAGCCCTAATTCTCCTTTGCCACGTAACCTAACATATGTACAGTTTCCGGGGATTAGGTGTAGACATTTGGTTGGGGGGAACCCATTATTCTGCTTGCTATAATCTCCTGAAATTGACAGCTCAGTCTCCCTTCTCAGTCTAAAGAGGACATGTGGCTAGAACATGGGGTCTGGGGTCACAGTGCTTAAGTTCAGATTTTGGCTCTGCCTCTTTTTAATGACTATCTCAGCTGGTAGAAGAGATAAGAATGGCATCTTTATAGAGTTCTTGTTAAGGATGATAACTTTAAAAAGGAAATGCCCACAAAAAGAACTTCCCAACTTAGATCGTCTTTCTCTGGGCTGTTTGGATGAAGGAAGGAAGGAGGGAGGGCAGAAAGGAGGCAGAGAGGGAGGGAAGGAAGAAAGAGAACAGGCAGTGGGCAGTACTGATGTGCCTTCAGGACAGGAGAGGTCAGGGGAGTTAACTGCTGAATTCCCTAAAGGCTGTATTGCTCTTCTGTATACTAGTGACATCAAGCACTTACTTTTAAAGAATATTTGTCGCTGTTTTATGATAAATTAAATCCCCTTTTGATGGCATTCTAAGGGATTATCCAAATATCTTGCTTATATTAAATTAGGGCCTGAAATAAGTGGGTATAATTAGAATTAGAATTATTCAATATGTTATTAGATTACATTATTTTCTACTGTACCTTTGCTTTCTTATGTGTTTCTCATTTTGCCTTGGTTCTGTTTTACTTCATTTCCTTGGGGTTCTATCCTGTACATGTGCCTATTTAAAAAATCAACACAGAGTGGGTGGAGAATGTTGGGGTCACAAGATAGGGTGGGTTTTTTGTTTGTTTTAAGAGAACAAACATGGGGAAATCCTGCGTGGAACAGGAAATCTTCTAACGTGAACAGGGCAGCTTGCTAACATCCTAATGAGAAACTGGACTGTGAGCATGTCTTGGGCCTTGGGAGAGTCTAGGAATATCTTCACAGGTAATAGTTGGCCAGTTTCAAGAGAAGAATCCAGAGGGAGAGCACACACTCAGAGTTAGGAATGATTGCTATCTCGTGTGCTGATTTTACTGTGATTCTAGCAAGAGCCTGTAGGCTGCAGGGATGTGGAAATGCCCACTCCATTAGTTATATGATGCAGAAACCTGACTCAGGCTGGTGTTAGCTTTGAAGGGTATTTATTAGCTCAGCCGACTAAGGAGACCAAAATTAGATTGGTCTTTAGGTTTGGCTGGATCTAGGGTCTCAGATGTTGTCATCAAGCCTCTTTCTCTCTCTCTCTATCTTCCTGCCCATTTTTCTCTGTTGACTTCATTCTCAAGCAGACTCTTTCCCACATGGCCATATGGACACCAGCAGCTTTAGCCTTCGGTCTTAATAGCACAGTAGCCCCAGTGGGAAAAGAGCTTCTCTTTTTGAATAGTTTCAGCAAGTGTTCCAGGACTGGCTCTCATGAACCTTGATGGCTCATGTTACTGTTGCTTAATGACCACCATGGCCATAGCTTTAGCCTTAGGAGGAGGGTCAGCCCCATACAACTAGGAGCACAGAAGCACAGCTACCCAAGAGAAGATCAAGTTTCTGGTGCCAAAGGAAAGGGGGAGGAGTGAAGATGACCACTACCTTTGCTCTGAAGCTGAGGAAGGCACTCAGTGTTGGCCTTCAGGGACCAAGAAAACTGGGTGTTTGAAAGGGTGGGCATTCGAAAGAGGGGGCTTGCATATCTGCTTTTAATCCCAAATCTTCCACTAACAAGCTACGTGACCCTCGCCTCAGCTTCATTACCACGCATACACACAAGTGTGAAGTGTGAACACTCAGCATGGAAGGTTGCCAAGAATGGTACTAGGTCATGTTGGGGAAATGCCTAGCACATGCTTGCATGTTATCTTATTCTCAATAAAGGTGAGCTCACTTCTCCGTTCTTTTTCTTGACTTGGCATAAAAGAGACCTGAAGGCACCATTGGATGAAACAATTTAATCATTTTCTGCCATTCTTCTGGTATACGGGCATGTCCTGTGTTTCTGAAGCACGTCCCAAGTATTAGGTTCTTCTTTAGTAATAACGACTATGATAATAGTTAACATTCACGGACATTTACCATGTGACAGGCAATATTCTAAACACATTATGTAGATCATCTCATTTAATCCTCAGAACCAGTCTATGAGGTGAGCGCTGTGATTATCCCCATTTTACTGAGGAGGAATGAAGGCACAGAGAGGTCAGTATGCTCAGGGTCACACAAGGATTGGAAGAGCTGGGGTTTGAATCCACGCAATCTGACCTTGAGCTCACCTTCCCCAAACAGTGCCTAGTTTCTCAGTCCATATGTACTGTCTTTCTTTGAGGTAGGGTTAATCATTTTCTAAGGGGTTCTGGAAGTTGAGTTTGTTGCCCGGACACCTCTTAAATCCTTGTTGTTGTTTATATTTCCTAGGTGTTTTTCCAGGTCTGACCATCTTGCCCTCCATATGAAGAGACATATCTAAAACCCCTAAAGGCCAGAGTTGCCATGGCGTCGGCTGTTGTCTGAAGGAAATGCCGTGAGGCCGGGGGCTGGACTTCAGGCGGGGATCCATTGCCTCGCAGAAGAAAGTTCTCACTCATAAACCTCTGTGTACACACACACACACAGACACACACACACACACACACGCACTCACATAGACTCACACACACGCACTGTCATGCACTCAGCTATATTTAAAATATATACGTCTATTCTTTATGCCTTGCCCTTGCCAGATGGTAGAAGACGAAGAAGGAGGAAACCAGGTGAACTCAGCAAGGCAGACTGGCTGCTTACTTCAGCACTATTGGAATTATTTCCCGCTGTTGCCAATGGAAATCAAAGAAAATGGATGTGACGTCTCTGCAGGTGGACGGCAGTAAGAGGGGCTTATTTAACTTGCTTCTCAGTGCAACTTGATAGGAGAATACAACGTCGTCAAGTTGCATATGTGTAGCACTAATGTTTCTTTTTAAATAGTTGGGGGAAAATGACCTAGAAAACCAAATTGCAGTTTGGTAGCCAAAATTAACTCTTGGTTTATTTGTCCTTTGTGTGTGAAAAGTCCTGCTATTCCGTGCGTCCGACTTCCTCACAGAACTGTTGATCGGTTTTGGTTCTTCTTAGCACTATTGAGATCTTTCGAGTCGATACCAACGGCCTTAGCGGCGGCAGACTCTGGAATAACACCTTACACCTTTCTGGCCTGCATTTCTCTAGACTTCACTCTCAAGGGAGGAGTTTTCTTTTCTTACTTCTTGACTCTTGCACACCATATGCACTAGGGATTCTGGAAACTTCTAGCATGACTGCAAAGTGGCCAAGAGAATAAAGTCCTTGATGATAAATCACAGTATATCCCTTGAGCCTCACCTTATTGCCAGTGCTAGATTTTTTCTTTTTAATCTCTCTGTTTTTGCTAACGAAAACTTGAAAAGCTTATTTGGAAGCTTAAATGTTTTATCTTTTCTCCATGGACTAAACCTCTCCAGGACTCTCTCGGCACCTGGATGTCCAGCTCTCGAAGCAGCCAATCAGATGGGACATCACAGTTCTCTCATCCCCCTTGAGGCATCATGACCTCAGCGCATAGTGATCAACCCCGTGCTGTGAGTCATTGCTACCCTATAACCAGTTTCAGCATAGATGTCGCTAGTCTCAAAGGGCAGCTGCATATTTAACCTAACTCTGGGTTATGACCTGACAAAAAAGCCAAAAATATCACTCTTTCCAGGAGTGGGGAAAATGGAGGATGCCTCCCGAGTCTAGTGGCTTCAGAAAACATCATCCTATCTTCCTCTCTCATACCCACTGAGCTCATACGCCCCCACTTGTTAAAACACACAATTCAAAATGCCATTGTGGGAATGAAGGGTGGACATTTAAGGAAAGGGTTGAAAAGTTTCTCTCATGGTCTGAAAGGAGAGACACGTTTCTAATTCTTTTTGGCTAGACCCATCATGACCTGTGACCTAGAGCACCCAGGATCAACAGAGGCCTCCCATTTACTCTGCAAGCTGACTCCAAGGGGGTTCACATTCCTCACTCTCCATCCCACACACATCCAATATCGGTCTCTTATCTACCCGCATTCTTAGCTAGCTGGCACTGGCCTCAACTCCAAAGACTGCCTTTAGGACCATTAAATGGCCTATGCAAGCAAGCGGGGTGGTTATTAGGACAGATTGTATATTTTGTATATTCTGGGACCATCCCTTCAAGACACGTCTAAAAAACAAAAATGGCGTTTGGTCCGCACATGGTTGCTGCTCCTTCCTACCAGCTGGCTCCCCTTCTGCCCTCCTTTGACTGTTTGACTCATTGACTGTTAAAATGCCACCCCATACCTATTTGGGATGCAAAACTGAAGTCTTTAAAAGGAAATAATAATATAAGAAACACAAATACATGTATGACAGCAACCTTCAAGATCCTTGGCATTTGGTTTCTCAGCTCTCTGCAAACTTTGATTTCCCTGAAATGTTGACAAGTGCCCATCAAAGGGTAAAGGAGCCTCCTGATCACAAATACGGTAGCTACCGATGGGACACCTGGGCATTCTGAGGTCCGGCCCTTAAAGTTTTCTTTCTCTTTTCCCCTTTTGCAATGTAGACCAAAAAACAAAACAACAGCAACAACAACAGCAACAACAACAACAACAAGAACAAAAACCAACAACAGCAACAACAACAACAACAAAACAAAAAGAAAAACCACCCTAAAACACACACACATATTAATCTGCCCATTTGCTGGAGGCAATTCTGTATATGTTAGTTGGAGGGTATTTAAAAAAAAAAAATCAGTTTTATTCCAAAGATTTAAAACTAGACATGACTTAGAAACATTTTCTGGAGCACTGCTTGCTGACAATCTCGTAGTTCTCTACTGCATCTGAGTGCGTTTTATGGCCAGTCCATCAGGGCGTATCATGGGATTATATTTGAATGTGTGGTGCATCCTTTCTGGATGGAGGTTGTGTGAGGGACCTTAAACCTCAGCTGTATTAAACTGTAGCACCTCCAGTCAGTGCACTAGATGAAACTTTAGACACCCCAGATTTTGTTGGTTCGTTGATTTCCCTTTCTGTAGCAGCCTCCGGCATGAATGCACGCACGTACCAGTGATGGCATTAGCCGTGGCTGCCACGATTTACAAATGTTCTCTCCCCAGCTGGAGCTGCTCTTGCCTCTCGAAATGCTATTATTAAGGGTTTATAATACTGAATTTAATTTTTGAACTGACCAATGCAAGGCTCTATTAAAAAGAAAGTTTAAAAAAAACAAAAAGAATGCAAAAGAGTAATCATTGCTTGTTTGCTCCCTGTTGTCATCTGTGGTCTTGAAAAGTTCTCATTTGAATGTGGCAGAACAAAGGCCCTTTGGTCCTCATCAGTGTCTGAAATGTTCAGTGATTCCTCTCTCTTTTGTATCAGTGAGGTCCTTTGTACTGTGCTCCTGACCTTCCTCAGAGCGGGGTGCGCTGAACCATGATGGTGGGGCTCGCTTGCTTCAGAGTCACTTGTGGACTGTGAGAATTGGCCTGAAATTTGGTGGGTGCTAAGTATATGGCTTTGAAACTGTTCTTCTCTAGCCTGATTGATACCTGTGAACGATTACTTATCCATAAAAGCGAGGGTAGCACCAATCATTTTGGAAGTGGATTTGCGATAAAACGTCCATCATCTCTGAAATGGCAGAGATGGTTTGGCAAGAGCCTGCGAGAGTGAAAAGGCTCTTCAAGAAATAACCGTCGGATGATACTTGGCTCCCAGGAGGACAGGTTATTTAAAACAGTGCTTTACTGGACATTTAAAACACACTAAACCGTTGCTTTCTCATTTAAATCGTTACCTCGTGACATTCCTGGGGATCCCAAATTTGGAAGGAAAAACCTGGCGTGGTGTTTCGTGTGGTGGTTCTCTCAAGCACATTTGATCCAGGGTTCAGAGTTTGCTGTATAGAGAAAGCATGTTTCTAAGCCATTGACAATTTTCTTTATTTCAAGTTGTGCTTCTTTCTCCTGCCACATGGCTGTAAGTCAAAGACGTGGAAACATGAAATTATAATGCTTCTCCTAGCTACTGGCCTCCTGCCCCACTAATGGTTAATTGGCCCAGATTAAAGCCTGGTGGTGACGAGTGCTGTGTCCAGTAAAAGAAATGTTCAGATTCCGTGACAAAGCTGCATTTTATAAAAATATAGGAAACCCCAAAATGAACTTCATGCTGACCATTTCCTTCTCCTCTCTGCGTGCTTTCCCTTGCGAAGCCCTTCAAGTCCCCCTTCTCCTCCCCTCCTGTGCCCCTTGTGCCCTTTTTACATCTTAGGTCGCCTGATTATAACAGGGTAAAAAGATAGCCAACCTCGCGCACGATTAGCAGAACTGATTCCTATTTTTAAAAAATCTTCTTTGAATCTAGAAGCCAGAGAAGATTTTTTAAGGACTGTAGTTGGGGATAAGCTTCCAGATTAGCCATGTGCATTTGCATCAAAGGGGAAATAATGGGACTTTCAGGGCAGCTCACCGAGTGCATTCAGAACATTCTTGCCCCCCCCCCCACCAGCCCCCATGCCTGAATTCCATGGCAGAGTCATCAGAAAGTCAAAAGAAGTCAAAGGAAACGAACTCCACTGGCAAGGATGGCAACATCTAATGATCAGTTTCATTGGTTCAAAATTATTTCCTCCGTGGAAGTTGCTTCGTAAAATGTAAAATCCGGTGCAAAGTGCTTTTGTCTTCTCTTTTGCATGAGTTGGATTTAGGAGAAGGAAGAAGGTAGGGAAAGTCGGAGAGGTGCAACATAGTTAACTGCAAAAATCAGGTTCATTGTTTCTTTCCTTTTTAAAAGATCTTACGAGGGCTGGCATTTCTGGCCATAATTTTGCACCCGGGTCTTTGCCAAAGTGAAAATTCGCTAAGTAGAACCTGTTTGAAATGTACTTGTGGAAGCTTTCCCTGGCCTCTTCTGGAAGTGGCCACCTGCCAAGCGTGGGGTGGGGGCAGGAGGAGGGTGTTCGAATTCTGAGTCTGGGTTGCATTTCGGTAAACATGGTGATATCTCAGTTTGGAAACCAGAGGGGCTGGCCTGAAGGCACATCAATGCCTCTTTGATGGCCTACTTTCCTCAGTGAGGATCTTTGGGAATACTTGAGATGGAACAACAAAAATGTGTCCAAGGAAACGAAAACTGCTTGTCAGTGTGAGATCCCGTGACTAATGGCCTGAGGCTTCAGGGTTTTCTCTTGTTTTTAACACTCTTCAGTCCCCTCTGCTGGTTCCTCATAGATCCCGGAAAAGGGGGGAAATTAAAGCTGCAATTCACTTTCTTCTGTGCGCCCTTCCAATAGAGTACTGTATTCTTCAGGTGTTTTGCATTTGCGTTTGTAAGTCCTCGGGAAACAGGTATCCAAAATGGCAGAGCGAAATCCTAGGCCATCACTTCAGTCATATCCCAAACCAGATACTCTTTTCAAACAGGGCTCCCTCTCAGCGGTCGTGAGGGAAGGGTGATACATTCTTTGTTGGGGACGGTTTATACAATTTTTTTCCACTGTAAGCTTTGGAATCGTAAATTGCTTTGACTCCAGCTTCTGTCTACTGCCATAAAATGGACCCCACGTCAGAATAATGAGGGTGGTATGTGTGCACACGCCTAGAGACGTGGGCAGATGTACCTATTGTACCTTCGCAGAAGGAAAACAGGCTACTGACGTTTAAGAGGAGTAGCCACCAGTGCCTAATATCTTTTGGGGGGGATGGATGCTTATAATGCCAGTATATTGAAACCACACTGGGAGTTCCACATGGAGGGGAGGGGCGGAGGGGGGGAGTGGGGACATTTTAATCCTAGGCCTTTGGACTGGAGGCGGAATGATTTCTGCAAATCTAGGTCCTGAAAGGCTTTGGGGCTCATTGGCTGGTTCTCAACCCTTTTGTTTTATTTTTCTTTTCCAGCATGCATTTCCTATCTAAACCCAGACTTGGTTTAATTTCCTTATCTTTCACTTCTGCTTCATTCCAGGGAGGAAAAATACACCTATTATGGCCAAGATCTCCTTGCTAACACAGAGGCAAAAATAAATGTTTAATGTTTTTGCAGCCTCCCCTTCCTTTCCATAAATCTCCGCCCCCCGCCAAAACCCTTTCTCTCTCATCACCCTGTCCCCATTCCCACCACACAACTCCCTAGTCACCACGACTTTGCTTTCCAGTCTCTGTTATCCTCTTAACAGTTGCTTGAAGAAATTTGTTTTTGCACTATACATTTTCTTTTTGCCAGATGTGTCTAACAAGTGTGTTCGGAGAGACCTCCTCCCAGCCCCCTCCCCTCCCCCACCTCCCCCCGGTCACATTCTCTCAGGCCTTCTCTGGTATTTATAATATATCACAGAAGTACCCAGTCTTATAGCCCTCGGTTATGCCTTTTTTTGACATTTTATTTTTTTTAAGCTTTTTATATATATATATAAATATATTACTTTGTCAAGTTTTTTTGCTGTACAAAAGTCTTAAGATTTAAAACTATTATTTGTATTATATGATGGTGGTATGTTAATGTTACAAAATTATTAATGAAGAAAAAATTTATTTTTGTTACTGGTCTGTTTCATAATTCTTTTTTAAATTGGTATATTGTAAGATATCTATGCAAAAAATGTTATGTGACGCATTTTTATTTAAGAATGTAATATGTGTAATAAACAGTAGAATGTGTTTGGCCTTGGAATGCCTTACTGTATTTCTCCGTAGCTTATTTTGTTGGGAAGAAGAAAATCCTCAAAGAGACGCAAATGGGTCCTTATATACCTCATGAGAGTTTTCTTTCTGAGAGAGAGAAAGGGAAGACGGGATTATATTGGGTCATTTTTCTTGGTTGGGGAGGTTGTCAGTCATGTGTGTGTATGTGTGTTTTATGGTTTCACTGAGGTAGCTCAATGCCCAAATAAGATGGAACTCTGAAGACAGTTCATTTCTTTGAGGGGAGGGGAGCAAATGGTTGCAGGTTATGAAAGCAATATTTTAGAATGAGGTGGATTATGGGATGTTGTTTGTTTCAGGGGTTAGGAGAGGCTTATTGAAAGCAGTTTATTTGGTGAGAGACGGGGCAAGTTTGTTCTGGGACAGTGTTCAGTAGGAGCATGTTTAGAAAGGATAACTTGAAGCCTTCTGTGGAGGAGGGAAGAAGGGCCAAGGCTTGAGGGCATATGTGAGGTGAGGGGAGGAGGGAGTCTGCATACAGGAGATGGTTGGGAACAAAGTGAGGAAGAGAAGGCTGACCAGAGGTGGAGAACTTCCTCAGTAGCCTCATGGAGGGCAGGAAGATAGATGCAAAAATAAACAGCCTCAAACAGGAGAAGAGGCAGTTGAAAGCCCTAGGGGAAGCTCTCAGACCCAGAGAAGAACACTCATTAAAATCTTCTCTTCCACGCACAATCTCTAGGCCAGAACATCGAAGTGAGGAGAAAGGTCGAGAACCTAACTGGTGTTATTATCCCAGCATCCCTTGCAGGGCGATTCCCCGGGAGAAGTGGTGTCATTAACCAGAAACAACACTAAACACCTCTTTCACTTCCCCGGGGACACCGCGCTCCTCAAGCTTTCTTCTCACGCTTTGGATTTGGAAACTGATACAATGGTGAGTAACTTGAGTCCCTCATCAAATGAATCTGACAAGAAATTCTTCCTTAAATTTTCACACACACACAAAAAAACCTGTGGTGGCAGTTACCGAACTTACTACATTGGCACTGAGACGTCCCAGTCTCTGAACGGGAAAGCAGGTGTAAGGACGGTTGCAGTGGGTTTGGAAGGGGTGCTGAGTGATTGTGTCCTCACCCTAATAAAACTTAAGCTACAAAGAACAGTAGGTGCTTCAGGGACCAGGAAATTTTGAAAATTGTAAATATCAGCTGCCACATCACCCGAGCAAACAAGTGAACTGGGCAACAGGGCAACCTAAGGTTGACTGAAGAGAAACTCTGGGATCCAGGGGAAAAGTGCTGGCCCAGAGTCCACAGGCCAGTCTCCTGGTGCTTGGTGATACAGATGCTCCATAACTAGATGAGTAACTTAATTCTCATAGCCAAAGTCATTAGCCTAGAAATTTCTTTGCAGGAGGAAGGATAAGATAGCTTTGCAGTATTAGAACAAGCATTATGGGGCGCCTGGGTGGCTCAATTGGTTTGAGTGACCGGCTCTTGATTTCAGCTCAGGTCATAAAGTCAGGGCCCTGGGATCCAGCCCCATGTTGGGCTCCATGCTCAGGGGGAGTCTGCTTGAG